ATGTATGTATGTATGTACACACATATATTTATATTTATTTAGTGTTTTACAGAGTCTCATTTGAAATGGGCACTAAATGAAGTCTCAAATCTAATGTTAGGGAATTTCTCTTGACTGCCATATGGATCATTTCCATATCTTTGTTGTTTTTTTCATTGTTGTTATGATATTAGCTCCATACACACCTGACTCTTATTTCCCTTTATAGAAAGCTTCTGTCACTACACTGGAAATAGTGAGTCACAGATGAATTGACTTGAGAAGGTTACAGGGAGCAGCTCTGCAGGCTCATCATCCTGACCCATGGGACGATGGTTTTGGCACAGTGCCCTGGGTCTCTCTTATGAACTCCCAAATGCCCAAAGCCCTGTGAAGTTAATTAGAATTCAGTATCAAAACTGAAACTTCAGTTTTCCAGTAGTTTCTTGTCAATGAGATACGTTTCTCAAAAAAAAAAAAAAGAAAAAAAGAAAAAATGTGGTATACTCCATTTTTATTGATTCTATTAAGAACCTGAAGAAGGAAGAGTTTCCTCTGGTTAAAAATAGCTGGAAGAGTCACTGATTATTTAACATAATTCACAGAATAAACAGGCCTCAAATTCTGCCTTTTTGCTATGGCCATGAGACCTGTTCAGACACCTCTCTGCTGACCCAAGGCAGGCAGTGTACGTGTAGCTGTCAGGGTTTTTAATGATTCAGATCTGTCTGAACCCTGAAATCGCTGTTTGGTTATTATTCAGAGCTTACTCAGGGGTAATTCCCATTTTATGGTGGTGCTTCTCTGGCAGCTGTTGCAACTCCTTGCTTTAATGTCCTTTCCTTTTGCTTTGTGCCAGCACCTTCTTATCAACTGAAGAGGCTCTTAGTGTGGGTGATTCTTCCTTTTTGTTATGTTAGCGAATCATCCTGAGCTAAAAGCTTAGTAGTTGTGACTCCCCAGGAAGACACTCTGCAGTTCTTGATGTAGATCCATGCCTATGAACTACAACAACTGGGAGCAGACACACAGACACAGAATGCATTCTTGCTTTTCTTCTCTCTTAGGCATGGAAAAATCCTTTCGTACAGCCTGCCTCTGTCACCACAGAAACACAATGTTTCTGGTCCTGGGAGTGGATTATTTTCATTCTGGACATGGGTAGAAGAGTGTAGTTCCACAGCTTTAAGTAAGGATCTTCTTCCTCCCCTCGCTCCCCTGCTCCTCCCTTTCTGCAGAGCTTTTGGGAACTCTGAATGGAATAGCAGCTAATGGCATTTTTTTCTTACTTTCTTTGCACAATTTCAGCAGCCTGGATGATAAGCAGACGTCCAGAAGCCATTGTACAGACATTACTAATTGAAGCCTGATGGCCAACGTTAGGAGTGAGGGTAGGAAGTGGAAATCTATGTTCCAGCTTTGCCATACATTCTATTTCTATGTTTGAAATGAGTGAAAATAAGATCTATTCCACAACTCTGTTCTGGAGCTTTATTTACTTCAAGTCTTCTGGCAACAAATAATCCATAGTGGCAAAGATTTTTTTCCTGCTTGTTGGATTTTGGGATGAAAATTCCAAATTTGCCTGGTTCCTGCTGTTCCAAGCCTTGCTCATAGTAGGAAAGTTTAGTCTGTAAACCTATATATGCCTAATTGTACTAACAGAAGCCAGTACTGTGATGAAAGACACAGCAATGTAATAACACAGCAAGTGGAAATCCCCTCCAACATTAGAAACCATCATGTCAAAATTATGCTGGGGTATCTCTGCTGCACTGCTGGGCCCTACTGCCATGGTCTTGTTGGGAGAAAAATTTAAAAATAATAACATTGCTTCCATAGCTGTGCTGGTGAAACTTAAAAGGGTGGAGCACAATTTAAGCAAGGATCATGGTATTCTGTCTGTTGTTGTGGCTCTGAGGATTTTGGGTGTGAAGAGGTGTGGTCCCTGATTGACAGGACATGGTTGGCAAAGGCCTGGAGCATAGACACAGTTGTACCAGCCGAACCTGTGGGTTTCAGTTGTGGGGCAAGGTGGGGCTGAAACAGACTCCACTGGTGAAATCTCAGTTTTAGCAATACCCTCTGCATCTCCATCAAAAATGCTTCTGTGGTGCAGCTATCTCACACAGACGCTTACAGGACAGATGGCTTTGTTCGGGCAGCTGCAGAAGGGAGATTTCTGGTACACAAAATGTGTTGTCAGAGTAATGTCTATTTTCTTTCTTTTTAACTGTCCCAGTCTGTTGCTGGAAGGCTGCTGTTGCAAGTCACAGCTGGGCAGGTAACCATCTGTTAATGAGTAATCCTTGTGCCTGATCAATCCTTGGCATTGATCTGGTCTGTATTTTGCAATATAATGCCATCTCCTGAGTGGGCTTGTTTGAAGCTCCTTGTTATTGCTATACCATGCTTTTAATCAGCTCCTGAAGAGAAAGGGAAGGGAAACATCTGGATGGTAAATCATCTCTGTTTACAAACAGCATTGGATCACCTCCTCTGGTGGTGCTCTTAGATGCTTGCTGATTACACCAGGGATCATCTCCAAGGGTCAGGCACTTTGTAAACTCTTCATTTCCCGTGGTTTAGGGAGAGTCTCTCCCTACATGGCATTCCCTTCTACTCACAAAGCCATTAATGATTAACGATGATAACAGCTCTGCTTACTTAGAAAACTAAAATACCCTAAAGTCAAGTAAATTGAAGTCCCATGTGAAAGCTCATTGCTGATTCACTCTCCTGCTTCAGCCCAGCCCTGGAAGTTTCCTTCTGCTAGGCAAAACCTTTGTGAGAGAAGAGCAAAGATGAAAGTCTGTGCTCCTTTCATCATTGTCTTGGCTCTGACTCTGAGCAGTGACTGTGCAAGGATGGTAAGTCTGATTCTTCTGTTTTGGAGTGGTGGATCACCTATGTACAACCTGGCAGGACAATGTTGCCTTGGGGTTGGATGAGTGAAACCACCAAACAGTCTGAGAGGAAGAGTGCTTCAAATGGAAAACAAAAGGGATTTGCTAGATGAAGGCTGACTAAGTGGGGCCTGTGGGATAGCTGGTACTACATGTTTCTGTATCTAAAGCAATTGCTTACATCCATGCCCTGCTAGGGAGGAGGAATGGGAGGGGAGGAAGGACCACAAAAATTGAAATACATTGAAAATACATCTCAGAAATGTGTTGACACAAGCAGGCACCTGCAGTAGCATGGAAGGACAGTGCTCCCCTGCCAGACTTCACTGCTGCCTGGTAACTGAACAGGACAGCTTAGGTAGCTGTTGTATTCTTTTCAAACCTCTCCCTGTTTCCATGCCATACCCTTCAGTGCTTTTTCATCATGTGCCTTGTGGGGTTTTTGGGGTATGTTTGCCAGACACCTGAAGCACTGCTGAGCATGGCCATGGTGATTTGACTTTGGTAGTTTGCTCAACCCCCACCACAGTCTGGCATTCACCATGGACTAGCAGGACAGCTAATAGCCTGGACCCTCAGCAGTGTGGCCTTATGATCAGCCTGATTTCACTGGCCAGGTTAAAACTAGCTCAGATATACTTAAATGGTGCTATAATCTTAACTATCCCAGAGAATTACGAAAGTTTCTCCTCAGATATTACAGGTGGGAGCAGAGAGGAATGTTCATCATGCCAAGGAAACAGTCATTCCTGGCTGAAGCTGTTGCGGGCTGCTTGGTGCTAGGAGAGTCAGCATAGAGTGCAAAAATGTGTTTTTTCCCCAGAAGTATTCAAGCCCTGCCCATATATCTCAGCAACAGCTTTTTCTTAACCCTCCCTTGTTATTTCCCCTGTCCAGTCATGATGTGCTGCTTCTTTGACTGCTTTTGTGATACTTTTATTTCGCTATAATTCAGTTGCCAGCACCTTTGGTGGCAACAGCACTTTATGTGTATTACCATTGTTTATTATTTCCTGTGGTTTAAAATCAGCTCAGCCTAGGGCTCTTTGCTTGCTGATTGGCAAACCCAAATGCAGTTAGAGGTTGCTTTTGTAACTAATGCCCCTAGGGATACAGCAAAACGGCAGGAAAAGTCAAATCCTGGGATATTATTTGTAACTG